ATTACAATGTGTTAAAACAACGATAAAAATAAAATAAATACAACAATAAAAATTAATTGGCGCTCCGGGGCTACTTCATTGATTCCAGTGGCGCATTTGCTTTTTCAGCTGCAGGAAAACCCGGTTATATTTCAGTATCTGTGCTGTATTGACCTGTGTAAAAACTTGATGTTTATTTAAACCACCAATAAAATATTTTATTCTATTCTATTCTAATAAATATCTGTATTGTTTCAGGTTAAAGATATTTACCTGCATCCGGACAACTTCAGCATTCAAAATGGGCTTTTAACGCCAACGATGAAAACCAAACGTCCACAAATCAGGGCTTATTTCAAGCCCCAACTAGACGATATGTGCAGTAGACTTACATAAACTGTTTATAGTCGACATTCAAAATAATGTAAACGAAAGTTAGAATAGTCATTGAAGCACTTGTTCTTGCGATATTTTCTATAAATGCAATGAGATTATTCATTAGGAGATGTACTTAGCAAGCCCAGCAATACTGTATGTTATGGCATATCTCAATTTTTATATTTGTGGTTCCTTTCTCCTGCAGCATATTAGATTGTTGAAATTCAGTATTGATTGAACTGTTAAGAATGCTCGTGCTCAAGATTTTAGATGTAAGTCGCCTTACAAGGAGTTAGAAATACAATTAATACATTGAAACAAGTCCCAGTCAAACGTTTGGTTGAAGAGTATGACACTGTATGAGACTGGGAAAAAATTTCAATGAAAATAAGATTCGACAACTTGAAAAGTTATAATAAGCTAAATAAGTTAACTTTATTGAAAATAATTGACGGTATAAAAATTGAAGCCCAATTTCAGTTTCAACCTAATAAATATATATAAGTAAATAAATATCTCAAAGTATTCATCTCTCCCAACTACATACACCGTAGGTTCTGGTAAATGCCTGCCGGAAGACAACTACTTTCCCGACTAATATCACGCTGGATTTTGATCTTTATCAGACAGATATTGAGAGAGCGAAATGTTTATTCATTTGAGGTTGTAACGGTATATGTTATATAGATATAATGATATACGGGGGGCCCTGTTATAGGCTCATGCCTCTTCAGGGTAACAGATATTTATGCAAGATACCTCACCAGGGTTAGTCTCTAAGAAGTTTCTCGTTCATCTAGCAGTAGGACCATGCTGAATTTATTCGAGTAGACCACCTGCAGACCGCGGTTTCGAGGTATTATCTCTCATCAGTGCAGGAAAGATCCGGCCCACATAGCAAAGTACCTGGGACTGAATCAATTTCAACGCGGCTCAACTGCATATATATCAAACCCTTGGAAGAGAGAAAGATTGTTAACAAGTAACAAATCCATCTCGCGAACGAAGCCCCAAGAGGGCAAGAAACACCCCGTGTACCAATACTCTAACAGATATCAAAACGTGTCTGAATGAATGATGAATATTTTGAGATTTCATTTCAAAATATTTATTTTCTTCATAGGTATGTATCTCTTCTCGATACAGTCTTCAGACACATTACTAATTAGAAATTATAGTATTTTTCAGGGTAAAATTTTCGAATGCTATGAAATTTGTAACCATCATATTTATATAGAAAAATAAATAGCTCTCACTCAAACATTTTATCACTATGAAACAAAATTCATCTATGTTATGTCACGTCATAATGATCTCCTGAGGATGCTAACTTGGTTAGCGAAACGCGCGTGTCAAGAGACTGTAATTTTTGTTCTGGTGTGTGGAAAGTGTTTTCAATAGGTTTATTTTACACCAGAGGTTTCAGTACGAACTATTATGTTATGTGTTGTTAGAGGGATATAACATATATGATTGACACCTCATAGACAAAAAATTATCATAATTTTAGAAATCTCAAGAATTGAATTCTATTCAATTATATCTCAGTTGGTCTGGTCTGCAAATCTATTGAAAATTTTCAGATATACTTGACCAACGCGTCTTATTTCATGAATATAAGGATGAAGTGATAAGTAGTTGGCCAGGGAAAAGGACACTTTTTTTTAGCTAAATATAATTTCATTTTCCTATGTAACTACTTTTGAGCTCTTCATCCAACTATTTTTCAATATTATGCCCTACAAATAGTAAGACGCCTGAAGCTCCTCAAAATAAGCATCTGTTCCTCACCATCAAGTCATTTATTAAAGGTCTAAGGAATAATTAATACAGGAAAATACGATGTATTTCAGGGATTCTGATATGATCGGTTTCGCTTTGAATTGGCATCGAATCAGTCCGGCAGGGGGGCATTTAAAGTGGGATTTCCACTGGGAAGTTCACAAAACCGCGACACGTGTTTCGCTATACAATAGAATCTTCAGGCGTCACGATAGACGTGTCGCGGTTTTGGAAATATCACATTAAAGTGTGTTTTCTGAATGTGAATTATGCCTTTGGTATCCCAAAACACCGTGGCCACGACCTTCTTGACCAATAAATATGCCTTGGTTTTCTAAAGCTTCGATTCGCTAGGAGCGATCGGAGTTTATTGGCCGTTTCTGGCATCGTAACCAGATTGAGACAGCCTGTATGCTCATCATCAAAAATAGTGGTAGAACAATATATTTTCCTGGGACTGGGAGTGTGCTGTCCAGTATTTCATTATTCATTTTGAAAGAGCTCAGTTGACCATGAATATTCCCCAATTTGTTGTTGATGTAACCTTTCTTTTTGTTTTCCAATACTTATGTACAATGCACGATATCATAACAATGCAGATATTGTTCACTTGCAGTGACCTTCCAACATAAACTCAGCTGCATGAAAACCGATAGACAGTCAGCTCATAAATAATTTTAAAGTCGTATCAACATGAGTGGTTCGTTCTACTCATTCAATCAATCAGTATGTGAATGTTGGTCCGATCCCAATTCTAGGGAGGTCATACATTAAAATGTAAGACCCCCATTAATCCTCAGCTCGCACAAGTTTCGAATTTGAACACTCAATTAATGGAAAAACGCATTTTAAAACGGTTTCTTTTGGAATGACAACATAGTGGTGTTACTAGTTATCAACCCAGCCTCATACTTGGGAGGCACAGCATTTTTGGCTTGAAAGTATTTGCATGTGTTCCTTGTAGTCTTCATCATATTTTGCTGTGCTGATACGGGTCATATACAGTGCCTTCATTTCAAAACTTCCCACCCCTAGTACTTCGTTTAGCAAGGAGAATTTAGATATCGAGAGGGAAGTTTAAAACCAGTGCCAGTGGTATTTTAGGTTTAACCCCCTTACCCTAGCTACCCCTACTTAATCATTTTAAATGGCCCTCCTATTTTGTAACACATCATTTTGAAGATGTTAAAAATTCTCACTCAACCCCGTTTAGAAAACTGAGTACCACTGGCACTGGTTTTAAACTTTCCCCTCGATATCTAAATTGACGTGTTTTTTGCCTACGGCAAATTCTCCCTGCTAAACGAAGTACTAGGGGTGGGAAGTTTTGAAATGAAGGCACTGTATATTGCATCAACACATTTTAAAACTTTCCGAATCAGAACAAAATGGAGCAATTTCAATGTCATTACCAGTCCATAGACTATACGAGTTCTCACTGTTATGTCTTAATGAACAGACCTTCCGAATGACTTGTCTTTTTTTTCTTTCAGTCAGTTTATGAAACTACGCTCTTATAGGATGTTTTTCACATGTTGTACAACATCCTAAACTTTGTGAAAAACTTGCACACTCCCATTTAGGCTCTACGACCTCTCGCTAGAGTCGAGTAGTCAAAAATATATGGAACTTCTCCATCCAGCTCTATGGGCGAATTCTGACAAAAAATTTTTTGTCTCTGACATCGAGGGTTTATTTTCTCATTAAATATTGTACAGTTTCTACTACCATCTGTTAATGACACCAATCTGGTTGGAGAAACATGCGTCGAGAAGCTTGTTTCAGTTCTGGTGTGAGAGAAAATGTTTCTAGTTTGAAAACTGTTTTTAATTTTATTAGTTAAAGCAACTACCTATTTGATCTTGATAAGAATCAAATTTAACTTGGAGAAGAGGAATCCTTAAATCAGTAGATGGTTGATAACAACTGTAAGTAATGTAAATTGAACTTTCTAATAATTACATTATCATATGGTTTGAGAACATCAGTCATTTTATGAAATATTGTTTGGTAAAAGAGCTGCGGATCATTTGATTGTGTACAAAACAAGTGAAATAATTCATTTCAATACATGAGAAAATATTGTTAATATGTAGTATTCCATGTATAGTATATTCCGTACTATATAAGATATTTCTTGAGAAATCGGTGCTACTATGAAGTATATTTCTTTTTGTATTTAAAACAATTGTAGGTAGAATTGCTGAACTTTTCTGAAAGGATAAGAAATTCTGTAACTATGTTGAGAATATATTTTTCCAACTTCCCCTTCCACTTAGTAATATAACTTTTTTCGGAATGACATCTTTACATTTAGGAGACATATTTCGACACAGTTGTTTCCTAATGGTTATGAAAACTTCATTAAAACTAGTCATGAAAATCTGAGAATCCTCCAAAAATAACTTTTATCGGTCGATAATAACCATTTGTAAATTAAATTTTGGAATTCTATAATGTCTTACATTTTTTTATTCAACCAAATCTTGCCGTTAGTTGTACAAGATTAGTTAGTTAAAGAATGTAGATAATTTTATGCGATTATGTTTTTGAATTTACAATGTAGAATGGTATTTATTTTTAGTTTATGAATGCAATTATAGATGAATAATAGTAATGTGACTTTTTTTTCATTTACTTTCAAGTTGATATATAACTCATATGAAATATCCAAAATCATCCGAAAATGTCCCAGTCAACATACTTTTCACATATTTTGAGAAGTACGGTTGTCTGCGAGGTATGTTAAAAAATAAGATAAATTTCAATTTTTCTCAAAAAATATTTATTTATACATCAGTTGCTTCCTTTCATGGGTCTTTCAAATCTTGAAAACAGGAAAAAGTCGCAGGGGTCAAATCAGGTGAATACGGTCGCTGAGGCATGATTATGTTGTTGTATTTGATATTGTAATCAATTCTTGGCATTCTTTTTTTGATCTTGGCCTATCTGGGCTCTTCCATTGGGACAATTGGACTTTGGTTCAGATGTCATAATCATATACCCATGATTCGTCACCTGTTATGACCCGTAAATCTGGATTGCCGTTGACGCCATTCAACAATTCTTGAGCGATGCTCATGCTACGTTTTTTTTTGTCAAAATTCAGCAATTTTTACATCACTATTTTTAAAATAGAAAGTCGCTAAGATTTGCAGAAAATACTTCTAATGGTGGTAAGTTGCCGCATTATAGTAGATGTCAGCTTTAGAATTGTTATTTTGATATTATTGCTATTGCTAGTAGCATAATGATTGGAAACAAAGTTAAAGTACTGCTTGTCAAATGTAGGAAGAGCTTTCTGAATTCCGTTATGGTCCCTCCCACTAGATCTACGTTCATTAGAAGACAGTGAGAGACGATTTCTCAAGACTCTTCCTGGATTTGACAAGCTGTAAGTCTGTAGCTAAAGAATTAGTACAGTGCAAAGATTCATCTTTTATTATCAGTGAAAACAATTCTGCAAGACTTTACTGACACTTTACATTACTATTCAACATTGAAGAAAGATGGTTTATATTGCATGCTCCCAAAAAAGCTGCTATTCCTTCAATTTGCACTTGGTATACTACTTTCACAGCTTATTATAAAGAACACTCACTGCGTAACATCTATAAGAACTTACGAATTGAAATCTTTACAAAAACTTCATTTTGTTTTGAGAATGTGATGTAGCAGCATATTTTAACTTCTTTTCGCGCATCTTTCGATAATCTGCTCAACAAAGTGTTTATTCGTCAAAGTAACAATAACAAACCAGACTACTACTACGAGTGCCACAACGAAATACTATCAATTTCCAATCTCTTAGAAAACGATCAAATTCGCATTAGATAGCGATATGGGATTCAAAACTGATCGAGGTCGAGGTATTGAAAGCGAATGTTGCCACGTTTATTGGTTTTCCGTGTTATGTACCTAACAATATATTTGTGAAATATTTATAATCGGAAGGGCGCTAAAAACAATATTTTGCAAAGGGCGGGGAGGGCAAACTGCCCCCCTTGCCCCCGCCACTGGTTTTGTAATATATCATTGTCTATTGAAAATTCATCAGACATTTGATTGGCTAAATTCAGTTTTTAAAGATAATTGAAGGATAATTTGCATCATATCAACTTCCTTCCTCTTCTACATTACGTGATGGTTCATGTAACTCTACAGAGTTTTTTGTTTCACAATATTGTAGATTCAATTACAATTCCTTCCGGAAGTTCGAATGCCCTCACGGTTTGTTTTTGTCCTAGAGGGTATGATTCAAACCAATAGTAAGTCACTCTGCACATTCATAGAGATGGACTCTCTACAGCAATATTTTGCCTTATCAAAAGGCCTTAGTGAGGCAACAAACACTTTAGAAAAGTGAAAATTATTGATATCCCGAAAAAAATAGTTCAATGAAAAACAAATTGTTATATTGAATATGATGAATCTACTCACTAATTATTGTTGTTGAATTCCTTTGTGAAATTTTCTCATGACGAAATAGGTCAATTCAGATATAAAATTACTTTTTTTCAAATACTCAGATAGGTCAGATGAAAAAAAAAAAATAAATTATGACAATTACAAATTATACATTTATTACCATCTACTTCTTAGCTTTAGTTACAGCTTGTTGGGCCTTAAGAACTTTAACAACAATCTTTTGTTCCTCGATGAGGAAAGCTCTCACGATCTTTTCCTTAACACATTTGTGGCACAAAACTCCACCGTACGCCCTCTTCACGGTCTTCTTCCTTCTACATAAACGAGACCGTTCTTGTGGACGGGCTGGTAAGATACCTCTTAGCTTGTCTTTGCACTGACCACAATGAGAGAAAATATAATTATTGCCATAAAAACACTCATATGAAAACGCTTGAGAAAGCTATTGTATAGCAAAACACGTATGGTGGTATTGTAAAATCTCTAGTGGAAGTCTCACAATAGAATGTCACTTGAATAACATAATTTTCATCAAGTATCAACCAATTGTGTCATATAAAATTCATATATTATTGGATTTTGAAAAATTAAAAGATGATTATTGACAAAGAGATTATAAAAGTTATATATACACAGTGTTTGAGTTTGATGAGTTGATGAATTATCAGAAACGTGTTATGACTGTGTTATGAACGATACCGTTTAACACATGTTTATTTTTTTGACAACAAATACAATGTGTTGAATGTGATTTGAAAAAAAAATACTTCAAATTTTTACCTTCTGATCAACAACAATAGTAATAATAACCTATTTATTACACTTGTTGAAATGTACCAAAGAAAAACATATTATTACTCTGAGCATGGGATACTTAAATTTTGACAATTAAGGTGTCCTCTCTGTGAAAAATTAGTACTAACAGAAGTAACGATTCTCTCTCTCTCTAATTTGGATGGTCGTTGCTTCCTATATTCAAGCGCATATGACAAATGCAATGCAGGTTTTTTGTATTATGAAGGAATTAAAATTTTGTCATTCTAAGCAGTTTTGACAGCTTCTACTGGAGAAATGTGCTTGTTGGAATCGAAACATTTCAAAATTGAGACATGTGTGTGGTTATACATGTTTCATTTAGTTTCAGGCTTTCCATTATTGGCATCATCATTATTATTTGATATATAAGTATAGTAGAATGCTAAAAGACCCAGTAATGTAACTATCCCCACTTTTTGATAATAAAAGCAAATTATTTATATGATTTTGATTTATTTATGTTGCGCTCTGCACAACACTGAAAATTATTCAGGGCATAAAATGTATCCGAGAGGCAGAGTTGTTTTATTTGCCATTTAATATATGATTAAAGAAGGCATTGAAGGTATTTGTACCAAATACTTCAATGATTTATCCAAAACAAGCACTTTTCTCAAACACCAGAACCGCAATACTTTTCGCGACGGGCGTTTCACTATCCAAGTTGGCGTCGTCAGGAGATGAACTTAACTAAGTTCATTTCATTCAAAAAGTCTGAAGAATCTGACAAGTCTCGCTAACTGACACCCCTTTTTCGGTTCGACATTGCATTATTGTTTTTCATGTAATAAGATAAATATACTTTTGATATGTTTTATGTTTCAAGTTAATTTGACGCTTGAAATTTAACCGTGCCGACGTCGGTGGATATAGAAGTGGACTGATTGAACAATCCTTCAAAAGTTCAGTAGACCTTGTTATCTTGCATACTTGAATATCTCACATTTCTAATTTTTCATTTGGTATTTGGTCTGGTGTTTGGTAAACCCATAATCCTTAAGTTGATCAATATTAGAGAATGAAATCACATTTTTAATTATGAAAGCTGCAATTTATGACATTTCTGGTGACTTTTGAAACATCCTAAATACTAAAACACAAAGTCATCAGTCATCATAAAAGTGACAAGTTTCCAGTAAACAAAAGTTAACGCTATCTCTAATAAGAAAATGTGATAAATTTTCGATTTTGGAACCAAAATGGTTTCGCTTTTCGAAAACTATGAACAACAGTATTCTGTTCTTACAGCAGACATTACCGCCCAAGTAGGTCTTCTAACAGCTTCAGCTACCAGTAAGGAATTTTATTATATATTTTTGAATAATTTAAAAAACATTACTGACAGTCAATTGTTTTTTGCAGAAGATCGTCGCCAACTCATTTCTAATATAGAAAAACATGTGGAAGAAGCTCAAGAATTGGTAAGCTGATAAATGTAAATCATATTGCTTTTTTCTGATGCACATAATTTCATTTACAGCTGGAGCAAATGGAGTTGGAAGCAAGGGAAGTTGAACTATCAAAGAGACAACGATGTAGAACTAAGTTGGACTGTTTCAGAGCCGAACTGAAGAGGTTAACTTTGGATTATATCAGAGCCAGATCAGTAAGGCAAGGTGCTTTGCATGACAGCGCTGAAGAGCTAAATGATGTCCGTATCTCTTCTGATCAAAAGCAAAGATTACTTGATAACTCTGAAAGAATTGAACGGACTGGAAGAAAATTGGAAGAAGGATACAGAATCATGGTTGAAACAGAGGAAATTGGAACACAAGTGCTCAAGAACTTGGGAGAGCAGAGAGAAACTATCCAAAGGTCAAGGACCAGGGTGAGTTAGTTATTCATTTTTTGTACTCTCGAATAATAAAAGCATTTATTGTGCAGTGCCCTCACAGAGCAATATCAGATCAACAGATATACAGAAAAACAGCGCTACTATAAAAACAAATGACCTTAAAGACAATGAAATGCAACAAAGTGTAAATTATTTCACATCAATTGATAGAATAGAAATATTTTTGAAACCATGCTTTTAATAACATTCTCGAACGAATATAAAATAAACTTTCAAATAAATAGAATCCATCAATTCATTACATTACATCGAATTGGTCATCAGGATGAACATATATCAGTTTGGCAGGTGTGCAAAGTCAATTTTTCATGTTACGAATTTTTTAAATATTTTCACCCCTACAGACGCCTCAAAAAACTAGAACGGTCCTTTTTTGTTCACTAAGTCAGCTAATAAGCCTATCATTTTGAAACATGGTAAGTCCACAAATACATTAAATGAAAAAATAATAATTCAATATTTTTTCTGTGGATGTGATTAGGTTCACACCCCTGTCAACATTTAATTATACAAAATTATTTGTATCATTTGAGTTCTACAAAAGTGAAATAGATTCCTGTCTAGATTCTTGATTACTTTGTTGATGTTTATTTAACATAACCTAATCTGAGTTATCTGTTAAGAGCTGATAGCCAGTCTAAACAAATGGCTTACTCATTCACGTTTTCATTCTATCTTTAATACACTGTTAGGAACATTCTTTCCTGATAAAGAATTATTAAAAGAGTAATGACTGTGCAGTATCTAATTATATCTGAAAAATAACAGCTTAATAATCACATATACTTATTAATGATTCTTTAGAGGAAAGGATTTGCCGTCAAGCAATTTAGTGATTTATTAGAAGATTAATGATTAGAAATATTTCTTATATCAGTAAATTTCATTAATTTTTAGAAACAAACAATTTATTATTTGTAGTCATTAGTTATATACATATATACCATCCGTGAAAAACCAGCAAAAACAATTCAGGCATGAGTAAAGACACACCTGGCTATAAAAATGGTGAGAGGGATAGTATAAGTAGAAATGGGTTATCAGCCAACATGTTTGACAATTGTCATCATTACAAGCTATTGTCTGTAATAATTACTCCTCGACTTTATTTTCCAGCTAAGGGATGCTGATGAAGACCTAAATCGTTCAGGAAGATTGATGAACTCGATGATAATGAGGTCCCTCCAACAGAAAGTAGTTTTATATGCAGTTTGTGCCTGTTTTTTCATTGCCATTTGTCTGGGGATATATCTAGGAGTCAGAAAAACTTAATTACAAGAGTGAAGCAAATTAGTTAGTCCAAAATAAGTAGTTGTATATAAAGAAAACAAGAATATACCTTACAATTCAAAGATGATAATATATAGGTTTGTGATATCACTTTGTATCTTTCTACATAAGCCATAACTTCAACATACAAATGTTATCCAAAGTCTAGTACAAAAAACAGAAATTATTTCCTCTTTCATTTCATTTTAAAGATGTTTTCACTAATTCAAATCTAGCAGAAAATAAGTAGTTTAGGTGAGGAACGAAGGACAATCACAAATGGTGAATAAATATTATTATTATTATTGTGGTCAATAAGGAGAAGTAACATGAAGAAAACGTCCGGTATTGTGGAAAAACAATTCATGGCTTTTGCATTACAGTGCACCTGTTTCACTCATTATTGTTGTTAGTGATTTTTTTGCCAAAAACAACTCTTGCAAAATATTCTCTTGTTTGACCATTAATGAAGTAGATATTGATGAATGTTGGAATTCAACGTGTACGAGCTGATAATAAACGAGGTCTTCCACATAACGTGTGATAATAGAGAGTATATGCAACAGTTGCAAATGGGATTGCCTAAAAATATGTTTTTTTCGAAGACTATAAAAGTTTGAATAACTTTTATCTGATGGTTGTCAGAAAACCAGTTAAGTCTATATTCAGAATTTTTTTCTATTCTCCTGTCACATTTTTGTTGTACATTTGGTTACGAAAAGTTCAAGATGTAATTAATATCTAAATTTTATAAAAGCCGGGCAAGACTTTATGACAAATGCACCTTCCTCCTCAACCAAGTGTTTTCACTTTTCCAAGACGCACCTCTTTTAACTGACGATATTAGGCTGAAATTCATTTTTCACTTCAGTACTAGAAAAATCATACCATTGTCATTCTCTAAGGATTTAATCATACATTTTTAAGTGGTATCTTTTGCATGGCTTGCAAACCAAAGATTCTTTGTTGAAGAATACTTTAAAAACCTCAAGTATGTGAGTTGACAGTTTTCATCACTGTGAGCTCCTGTTCACTAGATGGCGCAAGCCTCCAGTTTTCTTGACACCCTTGGAAATTTGACGGTGATCGAATGATGTGTTTGTAAATTTCATTAAAAAGTGGTGAAAAAAACTGTTTTTAAAATGGTTGGTTCACGTGAATCGGGAGTGAAAAGTGTCTCTTTTATACATTATGCATCGGCTTCGAGCATCGTTCAACCACGTAAGTGGAATTTGCTTAAATAACATTGGGGAATGTTATCATATGCGTCAGTCATATTTACAGATTTGACAGAATTTTAATTGGAAAATGTTTTTAATTTTCCTGTTATGGAAAGCAACCTCTCTACCTTTCCAAAAGATTCTTATATTTTTCCATTAGGCTGAGGTAAAATGTGGGTCATATGTGATAATCAATCTGGTTTTGCCACCCACAGGTTTGATTAATGAATTATGTTATCATTGTGTCTAATCTTCCGGTAGCGGTAATCAATTTTATTATACTGGACAAGTGTTCAATTCTGTTAAATCTAATAAATACTTAGTTGAAGTGAATTTCATTTATGGAGAATGGTGTCTCGTTTCTCAAATCAATGAAAGCAGGTTCACTATTAGCATTGTCAACATTAATAATGAACTGGAAGAAAAAACGTCTCGAAACAACTAGTTTCACAAAAACATTGAATTACACGAACGAAAAATAATTTCGAAACAAATACTTTTATATGAAAATTATATTATACTTCAAACATTCGTTATGGAATCGATTCAGATATTATTCTCAGAATTGCTACACAAAATGGTACATGAAAGAGGTGAAATTTCACTAATATGGAACACTGTCATACTCAGTGGCAGACATCGATGTTTCGAGATAAAACACTTGTCTTATCGCCTCTTCAGCACCAAATTTGGATAACGTCATATGAAAAAATGTTCAGTTCATTCATAAAATTATGACTTTATGCCACGAATGAGTTAAATTTACTCATGTCATCAGTGACAGTACGTAATGACATTCAATCGCTTATTTGATGTAATCCCAGCCATAGGAATCTGTTTTAAATTGAAAGGGATACATTTTTAGGAGAGAGAAGTAGAAAGCCAAAACCTTTCTTTCCCATAAATTAATCTTTCCTAAACCGGTATTTTTTTTTAATGTTTCGATCATTTTCCACCGGAAAAACGTAATTTATCAATTATCGGTTTTCTCTGTTAGAAACGGCCAACATTATTGATATTTCCATCAATATCTACCCACTCAGGATTCAGAAAATGTTGAGCTCGCAGCTTGACAAAACCTACAATTCCCAATAATTTCATTTATTATCACCATAAAATTAATATCGCGTATAGTTCTTCGGACGTTTATCGGCTATTATTGTGGTGCGTTCATTAACGAAATAGATGCGCACATGCCGGCATTGAATTGAGCGATAACTTCAACATCTGCGATTCCGCCTCTAAGCTAAACGTCATTTCTTTGCTGATTCGATATAAATAACACGTCCGGTGCAAAAAACGATTTCCTGTTTGAGGGTGAGATATTGCCTTTGAAGAGATGGCGCGTGGGATATGTTTTGCAGACACGAATCTCCTTCACGTGACCTTGAAAAAAAATAGACGAAAGTTTTTGAGTTATTCCATACTTATTATATGGTAAACCATTATGAATATTCACTGAGAAAGGTAAAAGTACAAACAGAAAGAAATATTTAATATGTAGCGTAGAGCGCTTGTTAAAGATGTTCTCTGGCTTGGGCACGTCCGCTGTGTATACGGAGAAGAGGTGTGGCGAAAGGACTGCTCCTTGCGGGACTCTTGCAAGTCGAATTGTTGATAATTCGTCTCCTACTCAGCAACGGCATCGCCTGTCAACTAGAAAAGACTGAATTAATCTTACCATTGGTTTTGAATATCCGAAATCGCTCATCTTGGCCAGTAGTCCGTCGTGCCAAACTCTGTCGAACGCCTTGGAGACGTCTAAGAAGATGGCTCCGGTGTTGTATCCTTTGCCGAGGTTAAGGCCTTCGGTCGCAAAGTCTACTACCCTCAGGACTTGTAGCTCTGTCGAGTGTTCCGATCTAAAACCGAATTGATCATCCGGGAGGATTCCTAGCTCTCTGGTTTGTTCTTCGAGTCTCTTCAAGATGACACGCTCCGCCACTTTGCTTATGGAAGGAAGTAAGTTAATTGGCCTGTGATTGTCTGGGAACAGGTGGTTCTTCTTGGGCTTCGGGATGTGGATAACCGTTGCCTCTTTGAACGGGTTCGGGAAGTGCTGCAATCTGAGTATAGCGTTTATGATGTTGGTTATGGCTGCGCGGTAGTACTTTCAGTGCCCGGTTTGTTATGTTGTCCGGACCAGGTGCTTTCCGAGTGGATAGACGTCTTAGTATGTCTTTCACTTCCTCGGGAGATGTCGGGGCCAGGGGTTGGGCGTTGTTCGTTCGTTGTCTTAGTCTTCGTACCGTTCTTTCCACCTGTCTCTCCATTTCGTCTACCTCGTCCGTGAACGGGACGTCATTCTCTCTGCACTGCCTTTCGAAGTGGTCCGCGAATGCCTCCGCCTTCTCATGGTCAGTGTAGACGATTCCTTGCTCGCCGTGTATTGGCGGGCATGGCTGTCGAGATCCGTTCCTGAGTACTTTCTGCATTCTCCATGCAGACTGGTCTTCAGTGTTTAGTTCTTCCAGACGGGTAGTCCATTGTCTTTCTCGGATAGCTTTCAGTTCTTCTTTCAGTATCCTGTTGGCTATCTGCATGCACCTTTTGTCCATAGGTGCACGTGTCCTTTCGTACTGTCTTTTCAGCCGTCTTCTTATTCTTATCAGTCCCATCGTTTCTGGTGGAAGGTACTCTTGGAATTTATAGCGCAGGACTGGGACTTCTCGTGAGCTTCTTACCATCGTTTGGGTGATCGCCTGTTGCAGCTGTTGTGTGGCGTCCTCCAGATCCGTTTTTGTTTCAATGCGTGGTATCTCACCCATCGCACCGTGTATGGCTCGCTGGAATCTAATCCAGTCTATGACCCGCTTTGTTGGGTTGTCTGTCTCCACATCACCTCTTCCTATCGTAAATAGGATGGGGTTGTGGTCTGACGAACCTTCTTCTAGTGTTAACATCTCCGTAGTTTCGATGTTCTGCACTAGTGCGATGTCGAGAATATCTGGGACTTGGTCTTCTCGCAGGTAGTGCATTGGGGTGTTCGGTGCCACTACCGCGATGACCTCGAATGCTTCTAAAATTCTGACTATATCTCTGCCTCTCGTGTTTCCATTCCAACAGTTCCAGTCGTGCGACTTTACGTTGAAGTCGCCGATGGCGACTGTTGGATGGTGGTCTGGGAATATTTCTGCCATGTCGGTTCTTTCTAGTCTCGTACCTCGCGGAGGTAGGTATACCGACGATATTTTCAGCTGCTCGTAGCGTCTCAGTTTAACTATCACCGCTACTGCTTCCTCGGGTAGAATTTCTGGTTTTCTCTCTACGTTTTGCGCTAGATCTGTTCTTACTAGTAGCGCCGCGCCCCCCTGGTCTGTCTGTTCTGTGTATATTATATCCTGGGATTCGGTAGCTCTTTTCGCTTCTTATCCGTGTCTCCTGTAGTGCCATGACGTCTATGTCCAAGCGCGATAGCATTTCCAAAAGCTATTTTTTTTGTCGGTGAAACCGTTCCACGATCCTATTTTTAGCAGCTCCGGGATTTGCGGTGACATTACTGTCTCCCGGGTGCTTGTATCAGTACAGCTAAGACCGCTTGCGCGATCTTTTGCTGCTCAGTCGTTAGGCTTCCTATGATATGTACCAACTCGTTTCCTCCTTCTTTCTGCGCCTTCGATGCTGGCTTCCTTTGGGCTGGTTGTTGACGGGGCCTCTGACTCTCCGCTTGTCGAGGCCTGTTCCAGGCTGTTGGTGTTTGTCTTGGTTTGGGGAACATCCGGCATCACCTGTAGCTGGCCGGGTGTACGCCTCCAGGCAGTTGGCGCATTTGGCCGGTGTTTCTCTTGGTGTTTCGTGTCGTGTCCTCCGCATTTCACGCAGCAGGCTGACGCGTGACAGCACGTTTGTGTGTGCCCGAAAAATTGGCACCTGTGGCACTGTGCGATCGTTCTTTTGTTGATTCTTTGCGGCTCCGCCCGCACGATCAAGTTTACGCACGTTCTTACGCTAGTTGCACACACACCAA